CCTCTGAGCTCGGCCATCCAGCCAGTTCTCAACCCACCTCACTGTCCACTCATCCAACCCACACTTCCTGAGCTTACCTAGGAGGACGTGATGGGAGACAGTGTCCAAAGCCTTGCTGAAGTCCAAGGAGACAACATCCACTGCTCTGCCCTCCTCTCCCCAGCCAGTCATTCCGTCATAGAAGGCTGTCAGATTGGTCAAGCGTGATTTCCCTTTGGTGAATCCATGCTGATTACTCCTACTACTATAATAACACTATTATGTTCACACCCACCCTATGAAATCAGCAGCTCGTTAGAGAGTCCCGTACCCCCTTTCCTCTGCCAGTACTCAGGCCTTTCTGAGAGGCAGCTGCCCTCTGTGAGCCCAAGCAACATAAGGGACCAGGAAGGCCGTAGAGTATGACCTGGGGACACAGCGGGGTGAGCAGGGGTCAATAGAGGGGCATGGAAAGGGGTTATCAGCATGGTTCCTGGCATGGTTTTGGTCCAGGCCAACTAGCACTGACTCAAACAGCCTGCAGGTATGGCTCAAGAGTAGTCATAGGCCAGGGACCATCCCCAGTAGGCAGTATGGGTGCAGGCACCTTTTTTAGGGTTTGATACTTTAACCATATGAACCTGGCTGGGCCATACCAGAGGTAGCCTCAGCGCCAGAAGAGGGACCATGGTGCTGTTTAGTTCACTAGCAGAGTTTAACATCTACATCAAGAAACCCAGTCAGGACAGTGTGCAATTAATCATTTTCATAGTGCAGCAATCACTAATGACTCATGAGTCTTGCAGAGGGACAGTTCCTTTACCTACTTTTAAGCCAAGGCTGTAGGGACAGAGTCTTGTTGATTCATGATGTACCTGAAAGCACTCATCCAGAGGTATTACCATTCATTCAGAGGGGAACATCAAGAGCTGCATCTCCACCACCAGCAGCCAGGACCAATTAATTCTCTAGCTTTAGGCCACGCGGCCAAACTGGCCAAGTCTGTATTATTAAATTCCTTCTCCTCCAAAACCAGGCAGCCGAGGCCAGACTCACTTTCAGGAGTAGTCCCTGACCCATGCAAATTCCCAAAGCCTGCCTGGGGATTGCTGGCCTGGATTTAAACTGTGTTAGGGACTGCGCTGACCACTAAGCAGTGTGGGCACTCGAAGTGCAGTGCCTGGAAATGCTCCTTGGTCATTTGGCTTGCTAGCATAAACATAGCCATGGCACAGGAAGCAGCAAGCAATGTGCCAAAGAACTTGCTTTTCCCTGCTTGGATCTCTTTCAAGCCCATTCGATAGAGTCCTCTCAGCTACCTGTGGGGAGGGTTGGCCAGCTCATCTGGAAAGGTGATGATGAACTCTCAATTATCTCCGCCAGCTGCCGACAACCTGCTCTGAGTGCTGAGCCCAGGGATGCCAAGGCACTCCTGAGACATCTTGGTAATAAGATGCAAAAGGAAAAAAAAAAGGGAATTATTTATCAGATGGTTTCTTGCCACATAGGACAGGCAGCAATGGAAGGATAGTCCAGAGGCCCTGATGGGAGGAGTGGCAGCCTCCAGGACCCCCTCCGGTGAATGGTGCTTTGTGATGTTCCTGGAAATCCCTCCTGCAGGCAAAAAAGCAACCACCAAAAGCAAAGGAAAGATTCCTTGCTGTTTCCCCTGGGTGGGATCAGGCACAATCCCATGCAGCAACCAAGAAGAGGCAGCTGGGCAGGGAATAGTGTCATCGCTCTGCTCTTTAACAAAGCATGGAGATCTCTAGCTGCCTGGGAATA